GCCCCGGCCCTGCAGTCCCAGCCCCACCACCGCCACCCCAAGGGTGCCCAGAGCGGAGGCTGCTGTCAGAATCCAATAGCGTTCCTGACCAAGCCTAACAGAGCACCAGGAGGGAAGATTGAGCTATAAACAAGGAAACTCCCATTTTCAGGCTGACTGTGAGTGACACCGGTCCCCCCGGCTCGCCGGGTCCTCGCTCAGCCAACCTCCACCGGGAGCCAACTCCGGGCCAGGCGTGCAGCTCGGCACCGCCGGCGCTTGGGGCCGGAGCTGTCCTGCAGGATGTGTAGCAGCATCCCTGGCCTCCACCACCAGATGCCAGTCTCTTCTATCCCACTTCGTCCCCAAAATGTCCCCAGACATCACCAGCTGCCCCTGGGGGACAAAACTGCTGCTGGTTAACCACCGCCGGGCCGGACAGACGAGAGCAGCGAAGGAATAAGCCTGATCTCGCTGCCACCGGCGCTGCCCTTCCCTGACCACGACCTTGGCGGGGACCCGAGCTCCAGGGCCCGGCCAGTGTGACGAGGCCAGTGTGACGAGGCCAGTGTGACGAGGCCAGTGTGACGAGGCCAGTGTGACTCGGCTGCCCTCCCGGCTCAGCGTTCCCACTGGCACCCGACCCTCCTGCAGCGGCAAAGCACAGGCCAGCCCCGGCCCTGGGCCCCCGGGGCCTGGACCTGGACCACAGCTGTGCGCCACGCGGGGCTGCAGCCAGAGCCACCACGTTCACCCGGCCACCGGGCACCCTCGGGCTCCACCTCCGGCCCCGCCCCCCACCCCGTACCCCGCACCCGCTCAGCTCCACGGCGCGTGGCTGGTTCCCAGCCTCTGCTGTGCTGGTCAGGACGCGTCATCAACAGCAGCAATTGTCACGACAGAAAGCGCTAGATGAATATTGTCCTGTTTAGCCCTGGTGATGACCCTGTGAGGCTGCCATCCCCATCAGCAAACGGGAAACTGAGGCTCAGACTGACCCCGTTGTTAGCTGGTCAGGCACAGAGCTCCACCTGCACCCCGGGTTCCCAAGGGCGGACGCCCAGCACGCACGCTCGCCAAACCCGTCGGCTCCCAGCTCCCCATCCCGTTGTTCTTTTCTGCAGGGGACGGAATTGGGGGACACTCTGCATTGAGCCTTCCCCTGCCGAGGCAGCAGCAAAAACCCAGCAGTGCTGGAACCTCCTTCTGGAGGCTTCTAGCTAACGAGGAAACAGGAAGGGAAAATTCTAGCGGCTCCTCAGAAAGGCTCTTGAACCAGCAGGGAGACTCGCAGCCCTCCAGCTCACCCTTCCGAGAGAGAAAATCGGATCTCCCTGCAGGCTGGAGGCCGCGGCACCAGGAGGGCCAGAGGGGCCGGGCGTCCTGTGTCCTGTGACTCGCAATGCGGAAGGGCCCCCCGGGGCAGCAAGGGCCAGGGATGTCACCTCCTCAGGGGAGCCTTTCTGAAGCCCACGCCCAAGGCATCCCGCCCCAACCCCGGGCCTGCCGCTCAACTGCACAGCAGTGGCAGCCGCTGTCCCCCACCAGCCAGAGGCTGCTCGAGGCCGGGCTTCCCGTGGTCCTGGCGCCTCCTTCCCCAGGCTCAGTGAGCGAGGGCGAGTGGCCTATGTTGACGCGAAGGCCAGGCTTCGAGGCCTGAGACCAGCTGCCCCCTCTCTCACCCCCAGCCCGCACCCCTAAGCCTGTGTCCTTGTTTGTAAAACTAGCGTGACGATGGCTGTGTTGTCACCGTGCAGCCAACAGCAGGGACGGGGAGGATGGAGCAGGGGACACCAGCGAGCAAGACGCCGCACAGAGGGGCGGGGCCGGCCCAGGAGCAACGCGGAGCTGCGCCCACGCGCCCCACTGCCCCGCCCGCCGGGCCCTGGACACCGCGGAGCCAGGTGGAAGCCAAGCTGTCGGCACGGCGGGCGCCCATCCAGAGACAGAAGTCCTGCGTCACTCGAGAGCCCGCAGTGTCTGGGGGCCCTGGGGGCCCCTCCGGCTCTTTCATCCCCAGTGGGAGGCGAGGGGAGAATTCGAGAGGCCGCTCGCTCCAGCCCCAGCCCCAGCCCGCCCTCCCCAGAGGACCCGTCCAGGGAGCTGTGGACCCGACACGGCAGGGCAAGCGCCCCCCCGCCCTCCTCCTAGCCTGGCCCCGACAGACGAATCCGGAGTCCCAGACCTGTTCCGGGCGGGTCCCCACTCTCTCACACACTCTGCAAGGCGGCGCTCCCACCCCACTGGCACAGAGGTAAACCGAGTCCCGGGTGGCCACGCAACTCCACAGCTGCCTTCGGCCCAAAGGCTCAGGCAGTCCCCGGGAACGCAGGCTCGGGAGGCGTGAGGGGAAGGTGTCCCCCGCCGGCCACGGCCAGACCAGGGCGCTCAGCTCCCCACGAGATCCCACCAAACACCAGCCCCTGGGCCCCTACTGTAGCCCGGCCCCCTCGGCAGCAGACGAGGTGCACAGTCGCTGCCAAACAGCTGCCCTGACGCCGCCTGGCTGGCAGCAAGGCCCCACGGAGAGCCAGCGCCCGGGGAAGCCCGAGTCCCGACAGCTCCTGGCCACAGGTGCGAGCAGCTGAAAGGCGGCCAGTGGCTGGGCCTGGGCTGGGGCCTGCGGCTAGAAATGGCCCAAGGGGTGGGGCTGGTTGGTGCCTGGTGGGGCGGGGGTCAGGGGAGGGACAGAGTGGCTGTCCTTCCTTTCTGTGTGCACCAGTGACCGGACCCCTGGCCCAGCAGTTAAGGGACAGGCTACAAATTCTCTCTTGGTCTCGGGCCCCAAGCCCTACGTTGGACAGTGGGGACGCTCTGGGATGGGGTGGTTCGTGCCCCGCCCAGTCCTGGGGACGCAGTGACGTGTGATTCCAGCCGGGCCCCCCCCACTCCCCAGCCAGCAGGGGCCACGCTTGCCCCCAAGTGTGGTCCTGCACTCAGCATCTCCAACAGGGTCAAGGTAACGGGCTGGACTAACACAGCACCATGTTCCTCTAAGACGGCAGGAGCCCCTGGGATCCCAGTGACCTTAGGGGAGCCCCCCAGCCCCCCAAACCTTCCCACCCATGACGTGGCCTCTGTTCCCAGTAGCTGGGCACGTTAGAGCAAATCTGTGTATTAAGAGCAGAACAAGGTTGGGCCCACGTGCCCATAAATCTCCCCTCCCCATGCTCCTTTGGGGATGGGCACTTGGTAATTAATTGTCTCATTTTAAAGGTGAAGCTATAGGGGCCCAGTGAGGTCACATGGGCTGGTCACACAGAGGCCATGCCAACAAGGAATGGTGCAGAGAGACCGCCCCCACCCAGTAAGCAACCCGGCTTGGTCCCCACAGGAAGAAGAGAAGGAAGAAGATAAAGCAAAAACATGCATTTATTAAGCCCCTGCAGCATGCCAGGCCCCTCACATCAAGGATCTTCCTAAATGGCACAGTGACCCCCAAGTTCACGTAAGGCAGCTCCTCTTCCTCCCTGCCTGTGCAGTCACACACCCGCCACAGCCCCGGGCCAGACAGGGAGAGGGACCGGCTCCCTCCAATAAGGACATGTGCAACCTTATTTAAAAGTCACTGCCGCACGTAATTAGAGGCACTTACCCCTCGGATCCATCCTTCTCCTCGGATCGGTTTTATAGCCAGTAATAACTCTCGTAAATTCCTCGACAGATGGAAATTTTATTTGACTAATCATGGCCGTTTGACTTCCTGGGGTGCAGCAGCTCGGGGCTTGGGCAGGCAGGGTGCCAGCCGAGGTGACTGTCAGGGGGCCGGGCAAAGAGCCCAGACCCCAAGGCCACCTTGAGGGTCCACTCCTCCGGGGAAGTCACAAGAAGGCATCAGAAAGCTCCTGGCACTATAAAACAACGGGCAGCCGTGCCCCCTCCTGAGTGCAGAGACACCCTGGGCAGGGCCCCGAGACCCTCTCCCACCCTCCGGACGCTTGGTCTGTGGACACATAATGGCTAGTGCCGGAGGAAACCGGGACATCCTGACTGCCACTAATAGTGGCAGTCACGCTAGCTGCCACCACCGTGTACCTGCCCCACACCAGCCCTGTGCCAGGTGTCCCCACCATTACCCCCTTCAGTGCTGCCAATGATCCTGCACATGCCCATGAAAACCCCGTTTCACAGATCAGGGAATCGGGGATGGAGCAAAGTCACACGCCCAGAGCCCCAGGCCGAGCTGCCACCCTCACCTGGGGAACTGAAAGGTGGCGTCTCCCCTCCCACTCACGCCGGCCGAGCAATCCGTCTAAGATCCACCTGGAATGCCATCATTATTATTTAAAAAAAAACAGACCCACAAAACTTCCAGCAGCTCTGCAGCACCCTCTGGACCACGTTAAAGCCCTCCAGCCTGCCCTCCACAAAGGAGCCCCACGCGAGGTATGTATCCAAGAGAGATGGAGATGTAGCACACGAAAAGCCTGGTCCACTCCAGAATGTGCACAGCAGATTACTCATAATAGCCCCAAACTGGAAATATCAACGAGGAAGCAGATACACACACCGTGGTCTATACGTACAGTGGGCATCGCACTGCGTCCTGTCTGGGAGAAGCCACACAGCCACTGGAACAGGGACAGTTTTGTGCAGAATATTATTGACTATGACCAGAGACTGCATCCGCAAGGGATTGGCTAGAGAGAAGCACGGGAAACTCATAGGTTTAGTAGATACAGGGGCAACCTCTACCCCTAAGGCTGACACAGACCCTTAAGGGGGAGCCCCCAGCCCCCAGTGCTTAGAGTATAGAGGAATCCCCCTCCCCAGAGTTGACATAGAGCCCTCAAGATAGAGCCTTCAACTGCCGTGCTGAGGCAGAGCCCCCCAACCTAGGCTGAGAGAGCACCCCCAAGCTGCAATGGAACCCCCAAGGCAGTACCCTTCCACACACACCCCTGGGGGCTGACATTCGGATCTTGCTGAGACAGCATGGCTGTGCCTCAGTGCATGGAAAAAAGTTGGTCTGGCGCCACTTCAATGGAACTTTCTAGAAAGTTCCAACCTGCAGAACTTACCAGAAAGCTGCCCTCTAGGGTGCCACAAAAGCTGCTCAGGGGAGGTGTCTCACCGGAGGCACCCCACTACCAAACTGCAAAAAAGGGGTGCCGCCCCTCCTCTGTGCCCTGCAGGAGCCAGGCGCTGGGAGGCTGCAGGGCTGCAGGAGCCGCCTTGTGAGCACATGGCCACCAGGAAGCAGCCTGTCCCTGCATGGGGCTCCGGCGCCCTCTAGAGGCAAAGGCCCGCTTGCAGCTGGCCAGGGGGAAAATTTAAAGGGCC